AAGCACCTACACCTTGTTTTACTCATGAAGGAATAAATTACTTATATATACGCCATAACAATCTGTACTGTATCCTTTGTTTGATGGTTGAACTGTGAAATTTGGACTGGATCCTTCTATATAATTTACCTGATTGTGCTATCCTCGGCTTTAACATAGATCCTTCTTCTCCATATGTCCTTGACGCTAGTTAATTCAAAATCATAGTACTTGCATTAACGAAGAAAAACTCTAATGCTACAACTATCCTGTTATTTCTTCACAAGTTGACCGAGGTGCGCAAATAGCTTAATTCACATGTCTAAGCGCAATTAGAATGTCATAACACTCTGTATCCTCGACAATTTAGGTATTTACAGAATATTTTAAAGAACTCGAAGAAGAATCTATCCGAGATAACTTCGTAATTATTTACGAATTGTTGGATGAGATGATGGACTTTGGTTATCCTCAAACTACGGAGACTAAAATTCTGCAAGAGTTCGTGATCACTGTGTTTTGGTTATATAAATGCCGTTAATATTCGTTATGTTGACATTATTTATAAAAAATGCTCTCCTCACACGTGTAGGTATATAACCCAGGAATCACATAAGTTAGAAGTTCAAGTCAGACCACCAATGGCAGTTACTAATGCAGTCTCTTGGCGTTCTGAGGGAATAAAGTATCGGAAAAACGAAGTATTTTTAGATGTAATCGAATCTGTCAATCTACTTGTGAATGCAAATGGGAATGTATTACGGAGTGAAATCCTTGGTGCAATTAAAATGAAGTGTTATCTGAGTGGTATGCCTGAGTTGAGATTAGGATTAAACGATAAAGTTATGTTTGAGAGCACTGGGAGGACAGCGAGGGGGAAAGCTATCGAGATGGAAGATGTAAAGTTTCATCAATGCGTGCGATTGTCCCGTTTTGAGAACGATCGTACGATTTCATTTATACCACCCGACGGTGAATTTGAATTGATGAGCTATAGACTGAACACTCAAGTAAGAACGAGTTTGCGATATGTTACTTTAATGGGAGGCTGTTAGAAAACTTTATTGTTTACAAATACGTTTAACAGGTTAAACCTTTGATCTGGGTCGAGGCTGCTGTGGAAAGCCATACTGGATCGAGGCTTGAATATATGATTAAGGCAAAGGCTCAGTTCAAACGACGGTCAACGGCAAATAATGTGGAAATTAATGTTCCTGTGCCAGATGATGCTGCTGCACCAAAATTTAGGGTTGGTACAGTTTTCATAGTAGTATGTTTTTTTGTTCATGATACAGATGAATATAAGCTCACCTACGATAGTTAAAATGGTATCGTTACAAACACTCAATAGTGTAGCGTTGGATCAGTCCAGTACGCTCCCGAGAAGTCTTGTCTTGTGTGGAAAATTAAACAGTTTCAAGGTGGCAAAGAATTCATAATGAGAGCTCATTTCTCACTGCCTTCCGTTCAGAGTTGTGAGTATATTCAGATTTTGGGTGGATATTTTGCAGATCATAGGAAGGTCAGAATGATATCAAGACAACTAGATGATATAGAATTGGCTACGTAATGCGCAATCGAAAAACAGTCGCCTGTGAACAGTCATCTTGTTGATTGGGGTTGCTCGTATTGGCTGGACCTTTCACAATCGCACCCGGCCTAGCCAACATTATGTAGGCAGCATTCTTTAGGATATGTCAACGTTGTTATCATCAATTTTAACTCTCTGAATCTTTTCCAGCTGAGGACCAAGAGACAAAACCTCCGATCGCCGTGAAATTTGAAATACCATACTTTACGGTATCGGGTATCCAAGTAAGATATTTGAAGATTGTGGAAAAGAGTGGGTATCAGGCCCTACCGTGGGTGAGATATATCACTCAGAATGGAGGTAAGCCCCGGTGGTTACATCAGAATCATTAATGCAAGTTGCTTATCGTCATTAATGTATCTATCAAATTTTTAACATGAATTCTAGATTATCAATTGCGTATGCCAGAGAGTATAAAGACTGCTAACATGGCACCTATCTAACTATGGAAAAACGGTTTAACAACAGGAAGGTTCTTTGGATTAGGACACTAATGTCGTTTAGAAAAATTATAATCTAACAATGTGAGTCTAGGAGATAGAGCAGAATCTTGTTCAATATTATAAAATTTGCTAATAATTTAGAGTGATAACTGCATATAGTCAGAGTGTAATAATAAATTATTATAAGATTCAGACGCAATTTCCTTGCACGGTTCAACAATTGAAAAGATAATAGCTTTTATTTATGTTTTACTTGAGAATATTGGCGACAAATGTAAGAATTATCAACTCTAGATGCTCTTTAATATTCAAATATCAACGACAAATCCAATACGCGACCTGATTTTATCAATGACATAGTATGAGTAAGGACAATGAACACTGATCCTATTATTATTGATGACATAGTTATGCAATATCCAAGATGGGATAAAAATTCGATCCAACATGATGACAATTTTAATCAATCGCGGGATCGATTTTCTATGTTTAAGAATTAAATGAAATCGAAGGCATTTATTTATCAGTGATAAGAATCTTAAACGAAATAAATTTATAACCAATGTCAATAATTTTCGATACACATGTATCGGGGGAAAATTAATTGCGTCCGTCTGTCACAAATCTGAAATTTTCGTACCACCCATCACGCGTCCTGTATAGATGAAGGAGAAGACAATGAAATGGTTACATTAGATACTTCTATAGATCACACTTTAAATAATGTTTTATCTTCATTCAATGTCTTATAACTAATAAACTGGTTCAGCGATGTTAATATATTAATTCACTTAAAGACGTTTCCAACATTTCCATTTGTACGAGTAAAAGTAATCTATCAATGAGAAAAGCTGTGTTATAACAATGCAAGGCGCTATATTCACGCTTTTATGATTCCAACATACTAATACTCAGATATGTGATGATCAAAGGGGAAACGCTATATTAATATGCTTGTCGATCATTAGCGCACACGTATCACATGATGTCCATTGAAACATATACCAACCATCGCTACAATATCTCGTAAATTATTACAATTTAATACTAACAAACAGATTGTAAGTTGCGCAATGTTTAGCGGTGATGCATTAGGATGACAACATCTAGTGCTCTGGTCATTTACTTATAGCGAATGTTTCCATGGTCTTCGTAACCATGATCAACATATCCAAGAAACTATTAACTGAAACACGCAACGTCTTCAAATTGCTCGAGCTAACCTCACTACCGAGTGTAATATTTCAAATGAGTTTATACATTCATATACTCAAACGCATCTTAAAGAACTTACATGATCAGTTTGTCCTCCTCAACCCGGATATCTCGCTTGATTGCATTAGTATTCAACTCTTTGTCGACATTCAGTACCTGTTGAGCAATGCTAGCAAGATTTAATGATGGAAAGGTAGCAGAAATGAAGCTACAAAAGTATACAAGAACATTAAGTGATCAAAGTATTAGACAATAAATACGAATCGACTTAATTCGTACATTTTATGTTCGGCCATTATCAGATTGCTTACGTCTAAGAAGATGTTCCGATTTTAAGGGCAATTTCGCGGCTTTTTATTGGTCAATGACAGGAATAGGCTCATACGGGTCTCGAGAAAAACCTAAACATTCTTGCCGTGCTGTCTAAATAACCTGATTTTCACGAAAGACATATTAATTTGGAAATAATCAATTTTGGTACGACATGGTAGCCACATGCTGTAATATTGCGCTATTGAGAGGCTGGGCTTACTCCCATCATACACAACATTGAAAATAAACTAGATATAGATACATTAAAGAATGTGTACAACTCGCAGACATATTTGTGATACCACCTTTATGTGGTACAAAATGGCCTTTATTTCAACGCATAAAGACATCTTAAAGATATCTCAGACATATTATTACCATGGCCTCTCTGGATTATAACAGTGTTATAATGGTGCAAAATGCTGGGGTTTCTGCTAAGTATAGATTATGTCTCAAGAGGCCTATCTACCCATGCATTCATCTCAACATGTGGTATACAATGGATTTAATGTTAGTGAGCGAGATGGGTCTGTTTAAGAAAGAGGACATGAAAGGGATCGAGGGCTTTACCCTTTCCTGCAAAATTTTAAACATCGGTCCCGAAGATTATTTCAATCAGTTAGATGTCGAGGTCCGTTCGCTCTGTGAAGAAGCCTGTGAATGGAGTGGGTTGACAAACATCGAATGGGCTGGTATTTGTGGTGATAAGGGAGGGTTGGAATTTCGTGTAGTTGCTAAAAATTCGGTAGGCGACAATGAACTCTGTTCACATCATCGGCGGTATCTCCATGTATACCCTTCTGCTGAGGTTGTTCACAATCCCGGTTCTGGTGGAGATCCTGCTGAATACACGCAAAGAGACATTGTAGATCACAGATTGGTTTCGTTGGTGATAGGGCCAATTGAGCTTGGACAATGTTATAAATATCCATCTTCCTGTATACACCATCAAATGTTTTCCAATGGTTTTCGAGACGACGCTACGTGTATAGACGACTCATTATTCAACTCATCACTGGAATGCTCCTCATCACGTTCTTCACCGTCCTCTTTTTACTCATCACCATCACCCGAATCGCTCGTTTCCATCTCTACTATTTCTAATCAATCATCCTGGACGTCTGAAACTTATCTAGTCAACAATCACCGGGCTTTCTCGCTTCCTCATAACAAAACACTTGTCATACAAGAACTCTGGGATGCAGGGATTCCTGGAAAGGTCTGGGATTCGGCTTTTATTGTTGCGCAGTATATGGGAGACTGCTTCCTCAAAAATGAGTCCGTCTTATTTGGTAAACGTATTCTAGACTTATCGACGGGAACTGGCTTCGTGGGTTTATATCTGGCTGCATTGTGCGGTGTAATGTCTAATGGCAAAGCTGTCAAGGAAATGAAACAAACAACCGTCCTATTGACAGATCTCGAGCCAGCCATAGATTTAATCGAGAAAAATCAATCTTTGAATCATTATTTATTCAAGGATGTCAAAGTATCAACGGAAATTGAGGTACTTAGCTGGGGCGATGTTAGCAAGACAAGGCGCCTTGGACCATTCGACATAGTGTTGGCGTCTGATGTTATTTACGAACCAGGTTGGGACGCATTTACTATGAGAGCCTTATTTACTTGTGTATATTGTGTATTTCATTATATTAATCTATGTTCTGCCCCTTCAATAGAGCTTTTTGATGCACTGATTCAAACGTTCGTTACTGTTTGTACTCCAAATCAAACTCACGTATACGTCGGGTACAAAAGACGGGGACTATCGCCGCAAGAAGAAGAAGAATTCTTCCTTAAGCTTGCTGAGGAGTTTAAAGTGACAGTAGTCGAAGGTATTGGTAAAGCGGCGGAAGAACAAAAAATCAAAATATATAAGCTTACGCGATAGATACAAATAATCAGAAAGACTATTTCTATTAGATTTTAGAAGAAAACCAACAAGTTCCTAGCGGAGATAATAAATTACAAAAAGTTATATATTGTCCCGACTAGTGCAGCAATTAAGTGCCTTCAAAATCCCATTACTAATCGAACAGGAATCGGGCAACGACAAAGAAACTTAACATTCTCGGAACTCCAACTTCGATGTAACCGCCTTAGTTTTAAATTCCTCATAATCGGTACTAATACCAACACTAACAGAAAAATGTGCAATCAATGATTAGGGTTACAAGTATTTGAGAACTGGATAGACAACCAATATACTCGCTTTCAAAGTATTAAATTTATTAGTGAAAAAGAAACCAAGCAGGAAATTTATTTTTCTTTCCTGGGAATGCTGTAGTCGAGAATTAATACGGTGCTATAGATGAATATCCTGCTCACACTTTAGTAAGTAAAAGCAAAGACTTCTACGCGCTATTTAATAGAGATAGCCTTATGTTATCAATATGATCTCATTTTATAACGAATTTGACGGGTCCGAGCAAATCTTCCTTATACCAAACATTCCGAAGTTTTGTTTATAACAAAGATTATTATTATTTCAAACAAGTTTCACTATATCCAAAGTCGCGTATTTATTATTTTCACAACAAAGCAATACGTATTTACCAAATTAATGTCATTTCAAAATAATATTTTACAAACTCAATAAACAATTATCTTCTCAATAGGGTAATCGAAGTACTGCTCTGATTGAGACTACTTTTCATTATTGACAAAAATTCGTTGACTGTAATATTGTTGCCTTCTACCTAACAATTTGTCGATGCAATGCTATACTTGATTTTATCTTGCTGAATATTTTTCTCTAGTTCTGATAAACAAATTGTCGTTGGATGGCAGAAAAATCTGCCTTGACAGTCTTTGTCGTAACTTTATCCCAAGCGAAAGCTGTCATATGAATTGCATCCAATATGTTTCGAAGGAGATAGTCCGGTTTCTTTGTCAAACTCTTGGATTCTGTTTTCGCAAAGGACTGTCTATATTTAGCCTAAACACATTGAGCATATAGCATGTATTTTTTACTACTTTAAACCTATAAATTATCCTGCATCAATCGCATGGCTGAAGTGTTTGCTGATAGATGGTAATGTTTGTAAGACCGAGCTCGCTATCAGTTCGATGACAAGAAGCATTACCGATAATTAACAACATATGTCGATTTTGATTTTTCAAGCACGCACTAAATTGAACATTGCGTCCAAGCTTTGTTGTTCCAATAATAAGACTTGAATATTTTTAATGCCCGTGGGGTTTTCGTGTCGATAGATAAAAGTCGGTTTAATTTTTCCTCCCCAATGCGCTACAAGCGAGCAATATCGTAACGCGTTCTTTCGGTTTCTTTGTTCTGGCTATGACATGTCTTACTTGGTTCTAAAAGAGCCATCTCATCACAATTAAACACGTTCCTTAACTAATAACATCTTGTGGCTGTCTTCTGAACTCGGCAAGTTTTTCGAGAGGCGCACTATTACCTTCACATAGTCTCTGATATTATGTCTTTTCTTAAATCCGTCAAACCAATCATCAGATGCTGTTAATTTTTTCATAATGAGAATACGAATTGCTTGATCCAGTCAACCTTCTCTATATAGAGGGTTTTTCCTATATGTTCAATAGTAATTGGTTCTCAAACATGGTGTGTTTATAAACGTCTCGTTATTACTTCCCCAATGAATATACCAAGATTTTTAGTCTCCATCCACATACGATCGAAGAAGTAACATCATTACTACATGACATTTCATCGTTGCGTTTTATATGATGTGCTTATAGAGGGGGTGACTATAAAGAGGGTTGACTGTATTCTTCAAGCTGAAGCCATGCAGAGCGTTGTTTCTTCAAACTTGATTTAGGCATATCCGAATTAATATTTCATCATTTATCTTTTTCACGTAAAATACCGCTCACAGTTCTTTTACCTATATTAAATTCGCAACACCAGATTCATTTGCTTTTTAGACATAAGTGGTTTTTTTTTGTTCGTCTGTTAGCATACGTTTTAGTTTTCGGCTTTTCTACATTCCGACGTTCTTTTAAACCTTAAGAAATTTTCCACGACTCTTTTTAAATGAAGGGAAAGTTAAAATTTAACATTTCTATAACGAAACTCTATCTGTTTATAACGAATTTATGGTCGTACAACTTTTTTATAAAAGTTCACCCCAGCCTTATTATTATAACCAGATTTCTTACAATTTACTTGGACAAGAGCAAATCTTCGTTATATCCAGAGTTCACTATAGTATATACGTTATTGGCATTATTTTAATATAGTAATGGATCTTTATTATTAGAAAGAATTATTATTATTGTTATTGAAAAATAAAAGTCAAGTCCATCTCAATCGCAACTCCCGTCGATGGGTCCATCCCTCCATCTCTCATCGATTTTATTACAATCAAAAGGGTCTTTTCCCAACATCTTGTTAACCTTATTATGCATTTCGCACATCCACATTCCCAACTGTTGTCTGCTTTCCACTCTCGGTGGCCACTTTTTGATTTCTTCTTGCAAATGTTCGGCACAATGTCCACAAGGGTAGAATCTTGAAAATGATGATAGAAACGATCGCATCAAGCGCTGTTCTTGGTTTGAGGGATGATCAGGATAGTATGCTGCCATTGTATGGAGAAATGTCCATGTCGCTCTTCCAAGCTGCTTGACATCAGGTGGACATTCTCTTATTTGCGATTTAGTTGTGTCAGCAGTGTTGGTTTCTTGTGAAGATTGTGTGGAGTATTTCTTCTTCTCTTGCTTAGCCCAGGTACGGAAATCGGTACATACCCTACAGGGTTTATCGTCTTTCCCTGGCATTGCACCAAAGTAAATTTTTGTGCCAGTACCGAAAATTATTGTCAATATAATGACACGACGTCACAAGATACTGGCAACCAATTAATTTCTTCCGGGATGTCGCACAATCTTAGTATATGATCTTTACTTGGTACATAATTGGCTATTTGCTAATGCTCATGACCACATTTGGCAATTACAATTTCTAATTATCTCTACACATCCACATCCTATGCAGAAATCATTCTTTGGAAATTATGCTCTGGTATGCCATCAGCCATTCACGTCAAAAAAGAGACATCGGCGAACATCGTTTTCATTCATTTCAGTTGGCTCAATAATAATTTGATCATACAAGGACGAAGCAATTGCTGGGTTTGTTGCTGGAGCTACATCAACTATCTGTCTACATCCTCTGGAAATTGTCAAGATAAGATTTCAGAGTAGGCATACATCCGCATGAGTCTATTGTGTATATAATTCATAAAACTCAATCGTTTGTCTGGCAGTTGATGATACCGCAAAATTTCGACGCCATTGGCTATCAATCGGTGGCACTGCCAAAGCGCTACGAGCAATAGCGCGCTATGAAGGCCTTTTAGGTCTATATCGAGGACTCTCCCCCAATTTTGCTGGCTCGGCAGCAAGTTGGGGTTTCTATTTCTATTTGTAAGTGGTTTGACCAGTAGCTACCGTGATCTCGCCTTGTGTTGACTCCTGCTAAATACAATACAGATATAGCCTAATAAAGTTGCGAATGGCGGGTGAAGACAAGACACAAAAGCTGTCCCCTGCGCAGTATCTGCTTGCTTCAGCCGGAGCTGGTGAGTAACCTTTTTTTCCTGCTTGCTTGGAGAGAATGTTAACATCACGTTACTCTTCAAGGCGCGGTTGTTGCATTGTGTACAAATCCACTTTGGGTCGTAAAGGTCAGAATGTGTGCCTCGAGAAGAGGACAGCCCGACGCATACTCTGGGTTATTCGGTGAGTATCTTAGTTTTTGAATATCGATATTTGATTGTCAATCGCTCATACGTCTTTGGTATTTCAGATGGACTATATCAGATTGTTCGATATGAAGGAATACGAGGACTTTACAAGGGTCTTGTTCCGGCTCTATTCAGTGCTTCGCATGGGGCATTACAGTTTATGGCATATGAAGAGCTGAAGAAATGGCGATCGCGAATTAATCCAGACAAGGATCGGAATCGACTGGTGAGTTTACCCGAATTTACCGTCTTTGTAAACCGGTTTAATTTACTGACATGCTCTTTGGTATTATATAGTCCAATATTGAATATATCTTGCTTGCGAGCAGTTCCAAAACATTTGCTAGTACTATAACGCACCCATTTCAGCTAATTAAAGCACGATTAATGAACCAGCGACTAGAGAAAAAGTATTACGGCGTGATTGACACCATTCGCAAGACCTACAGGTTAGCGAGTGCATTTTCGTGTCCGGTTTATGTAGCATAGAGTTTTAACGTTCTTAATAATAGATTGGAAGGACTTTTCGGATTCTACAAGGGCATAGCACCGGCAGTAATACGCGTCTTACCTGGCACATGCGTCACTTTCGTCGTGTACGAAAATCTGTCCGCGTATTTCCGAGAGCATGCACAAAAGTCAACATAAATGCTTTCTTGTGAGATAAACACTGAAATATACTCTTAGCCAAAACATTGGCCGTTAGAACACCTGTCGATTAGTAAAACGTACGTTGATATTTTTTCCTTGCTGCCAGTTTTTTTATTGTAATTTTGCTAAAATACCCTGTTAACTTAAGCCCCATTATCTTATAATATTGTCGAGCCAACTACCGCGGGAGAGCGTTCAGTAATTGACCTTGGGATTTAGCTCTTTCAATGGAGGTTTACATCGCCAATACAGTTAGTGACCTTATTTCTGGCTTTAAATATACTGACAATTTTCCCAAATTAATCGGTCATATAACGCAGGTTCTCTATTGTCAATACACTGTAGTTCTTCTCCTACCCTAAATCGGTGGGATTGGTTCCGATAGTCTGTAGGCTTCAACAGGGGATTGTAATACGCTAAAGTAAACGCGTTTATTAATAACAATTAACAATCGTATTGCCAATTACGAGAATTGATGGACAAGATCAATTCTACCCACCGGAACCCGCAAAATCATTGAAGTGGCCAGGGATAATTAATGTGGCAGATTAAAACGAAACCAGATTAAAATGAAATTTGGAGTCTTCTTGGGTCCTCTTTTTAATGCCTCTGAACCCACATATACTCTTCTATTAACCTAAATCCTAATCCAAATACAAAAAAAAGAGCCTTTAACCCGATTAATGTTTGATATGTATATCTTTTATAGTGTTGAAGGAAGGTTCAGGTTCAAAACGATAAGTTGAAGTTTATGTTAGCTAGTGAAACTACCTCGTATACGTTGGCATTAATAAATGAATTATTGTTTTACACGATTGTCGAACACTTGGAGGAATACGTTACTATTATGGCAAGTATTGGTGATTTGTTGGAATCCGTATAGAACACAAGACTTTGAAGGTGCTGTTTGGCTATTAAGTTCAAATTACTTTATCTCATGAAAATGGTGAATGAGTGAGAATTATCAGTAGAGCTTGGATAGATCGGTTGATACGTGATAAGGAAGTTTTGCAATCGATAGGAATTAGAACCATCAATGTTAGCCTCACAACAATAACTTAGTTTATGAAAAGTTCAAGTCAAACGTCTATTTATTTTAATCTAGACTAAGCCTCTGTTGGCTTGGCATGACCTTTCGAGAAGGCAGCAGAACATTTAGCCATTGTCTGACTCGCCCTACTAATGCTGTTTGTCATGTAGAAGTTCTGTATCGCCGAATTTAGCGGAGCGCTAAATGGCCGCAAAGATGGTTTTACGAGTTGCATAAGACCAAGCTGGGCATGCGACGAAGTCTCAACGAGATCGTAACGAGTGAGATGAGGCGCTATTTCATTCATTCGATAACGGAGTGAGTGGACGTCATCGTAAGGAAGTGTCAGTCCGGCTACCTCTGATAATGCACGGATTATCTACAAACGTAATGCGTCGTTAGATAGAATGCTAACTAACTAAAGCGAGAGCTTAAAGCATCACATTTACCTTCCAATCCTCACGAGAAGCTCCTGGTGGTGGTACCGCTGCCCTTGTCATTTGTACTCTGCCCTCTGTATTGACATAAGTAGCATTCTTCTCAGTATATGCAGCACCAGGTAATATTACATCCGCATAATGAGCACCATGGTCACCATGATGGCCCTGATATACTACAAATGCGTCTTTAGGGATATCCCTCGCTGAAACCTCGTCAGCATTCAATAAATATAGGAACTTGGGCTCAATGGTCGATGAATCGTATGTGGGAATGAAGCCAATATCAAGGGCAGCAGCACGGCTTGCACCCTGATCGGTTAAAGTGGTTACTTAGCGACCTTTGACTTGGAAGATGAATAAACGTATAATAAAATAATACTTACCCTCTGTAATACATTATATCCGTTCCAGTTCGCTTGGAAGAATTTATCTTTATACTTGCCAATTAACTGGGCCACTGATGAGAATACGTACTCAGAATCGGGGTTGTCTGCAACGCCGCTTCCGACGATGACCAAAGGCCGCTTCGCTTGTGCAAGTTTCTGACCGAATGGATGTGTTCCACTTAGTAGATCTTCTAATGCAGAAGTATTTGTTCCAATGTGATCGTATTCATAAGTAGTATCGGCCGGATATCCTATGAGACCTATATCTAAGCCATTGTATAAGTAACTTTTACGAATTCTAGTGTTGAGTATCGGTGCTTCATGTTTAGGGTTGGTTCCAATCAATATTAGCACATCTGCATTCTCAACACCAGTAATCGTACTATTCAATAAATAATTAGAACGAAAATCTGCTCCATGAGCAGGCAGTTTAAAACCCTGAGGAGTGTCGAAGGCAAAGTTGTCAGAGCCAAAACGATTAAATAAATCTTTTAGTGCCACAAGACTTTCCGCATCAGCCAACTCTCCAGCTACGGCTTTAGCTTCTGAACCAGTGATCTGCGCAAGATGATCTGCCACTACATTAAATGCATCGTCCCATGTGGCTGGGACGAACTTGTTTCCTTCACGAATCAAAGGTGTAGTGAGACGTTGTCTTTTCAATCCGTCAAAAGCAAATCTCGTTTTATCAGAGATCCATTCCTCATTTACTTCATCATTGATCCTAGGCAGAATACGCATAACTTCAATTCCTCTCGAATCAACACGAATATTACTGCCTATAGCATCCATGACATCAATTGACTCTGTCCTTTTGAGTTCCCACGGACGATAAGAGAATGCATATGGTTTCGCTGTCAAAGCCCCAACAGGGCACAAGTCGATAACATTGGCGGACATCTCTGAATCTAAAACGCTCTCGATGTAAGTACCAATCTCCATATTGTTTCCTCTTCCTGTTGAACCCAACTCGGGCGCACCAGCAACTTCGTTTGCAAACCGTACGCATCTAGTACAATGGATGCATCTCGTCATAGTGGTCTTGATCAAAGGACCAAAATTCTTGTCCGCAACGGCACGCTTGCCAACAATTTCGTGAAATCGACCTCGATCGGTACCGTATCTTACAGACTGATCCTGTAAATCGCATTCACCTCCTTGATCGCATATTGGGCAGTCTAGCGGATGATTTGCTAACAAAAACTCCATGACTCCTTCGCGCGCTTTATGCACCAGAGGCGTATCAGTTTTGATTTTCATTCCTGGCATTACCGGCATAGAACACGATGCTACTGGCTTGGGTGATCTTTCCAATTCCACTAAACACATTCGACAATTACCGGCTACTGACAGACGCTATGTTGAGGTAAGATACCGAATCAGTCAGATCGTATTTTACCTGAGTGAACGAGCAATTACAAAACAAAGTGCGTAAAAGCAACCTCATGATAGCAAAACCGGGGTATGGGCACTCCAACTTTTTCGCAGGCCTGAATAACTGCACTACCTTGTTCGATCATAACCGGTTGCCCGTCAACGAATACTTCAACTTCTTGCCTTCTTGGTACGCTAGCATGGAATGCACGCGCTGTTGAGAATCAGATCGAAGCGATTGCTAAGATTATTTGTACAGATTATTATCTTACGAGTTACCTCTAACAGAGAATAGCGACAGAAACTTACCGTAAACATGGCGTGCACGATGAGGCAGACGTTGTCGTTGAATTATACTTAAAAGTCGAGACATTTTAGTTGATATTTAATTTGCAAAAAATGTGATATTAATATCATATTACCCTATCACAAGCAAATATTTCAGGGGTTAAAAATGCGTCAAAGCAACTGCATGGGTTACTCTATTCCCAAAACATCTTTACCTATTTCTTTTGAATACATTGACAATTGAAATGCACTGATAGCGAAAGTTAATGGTAATGCCAGGGATCTGAAAGTTGAGAGACGAATACCCTTCACCCTTGTATAATTCGAGAATTTTGGTGACTATATTGTTAAAAGAACTTTCAACGGTCGTTTTAATATTAAAAAGTTGCTTCTTTAGTTTTGAAAATTCCTTTCTTGAATGGCTAGTCTCTTGGCTAGTCTCGTTAACATTAATTATAATTAGTTAATTTAATTAGATTCAGTGTAAAAATAATCAAATTATGATACACATAGTCGAAAGTTTAGGATGGGAGGTAAACAAGGTAACGCTCAAAAATAAATAACAATAAATAAACAGTATTAGTATGTCAAATAAAATGGCTTTGAATATATACTTGAATCATTACAAACAGAGTGACTATAGAATCGATTATTCGTATTGCTATGACAAGAGACTGAGACGTCAAATAAGAATTTAACAGCCAAATCGTTGAAACCAACGCACCATCGATAGCTTTCTAAACATAGATTATTATACAAAGCTTATTACCAAAACGACCTTGAAACAAACGCCAAACTATATTACACTATTGGAACCAAGGTGTGCATTCTGCCAAATCCCCATGCCAACTATCCATTACAACCTTTGAAAACTAGGACTATAAAGCACAAGAAGTATGCTGGCCAACCATCAATTATTACAGCATATGCCATCGGCGATGCGATATTAACCTCAGAGTATTGTCAAAAAAAATGTAGAAAAACACTTGCCAAAGAAGTGATGAATTGGCTGAGTTCAAGTGGAATATGATTTCAAAAACTACATAATGAATTTTATTTGGTTCAATGAGAGATGACGTACGTAGTACGCCTATAATAAAGAACAGATTTCATATTAAATTTTTGTAATAAATATTTTATTGCAAGCTATCAAACGAGATATTAATGATAATAATTACAGTCGTTGGCTGGAAATAGCCGTTTTTTTCTATTATCAATATTTTCGTGTCACTGTAAATGGCTACTAGCTCAGATATTAACTCGATCGAAAACTCAGTCAACTTTGTTAATCCGAAGGCGCTTGTGCAGCAATTTCTCTTCATGTTTTCGGATTTCTATAAACCGAAGGACATAATCATAATCAGGGAAACCATACATTTGGATTAAAGAGAAGTAAATACTCTGGGTTTGACATGATATTTTTCTTGATAAAAGTCTATTCAGACTAACTGATGAATAACCTGTAATTTCGGTTTGGGACCTTAAAGTCGACATATTTTCCCCCTTGCATTGATTTAACCGTATATAAAACCCTCACTAATGGCGATGACCATCTCCTTTTGCTTTAAAAGGGTCAATTTTTTGCTCTTGTGAGTTTTTTTGTTTTTTAGGGCTTTTCACAATCGCTTGACATTTGTTGGTGTCAGTGTGTAGAAAATATTGGCTACTCTGCCCCCTGGCTGATAGGATCCATCATTGTATAGAGACGTATATTTTTATAAATATTAAAGCATGTGGAACAAATATAATTGGTCGAAAATGCGTTATTTGTTCGGCTTATTGAGCTTACAAAACAGACAATACTATTGATTCGGGTTAACGAGGTATTTTTAATAGACTAAACTGCGCAATTCAAAACGGGATTGGTTTAAAGGGTGTTTCGTCCTAACTGGACTTGGTTTAACATGGTTGACCTTGTACCAAGAAGATGAGAAGACGTAACTGCAGACAATAGTAATAAGTTAAACCATTACTATTAGGAAACGTGTTGTAACATCATAGACAGCATGCTGTCTACAATTAAACCCGTAATTGTTGTGAAGTAAACGAAAAGTAATTCTCGCTACTTTTATCGTGCTGGGATTATCAACGACTTTTATTTTGCAGACGAGAAATGTGCTACATCTGAATGTGTGTGTCGAGTCAACAATCGCGGGAGAGCAATCGATTGCTGATCTCGAGATTTAACTATTTTCAAACGGAGCTGTAGCTTTTACTACTTTAGTTAAATGTAAACTAGGTTTACTACTCACAACCTTATTATTATGTCAATCGGTAGACACTAATCCTAGATGGTTATCCGCCCGGAAGCCTATAGGTTGGGGATGCTTGTATCCATCTCAAACGCGCATCTCTTCTTAAGTAAATAACAATCGTAATACCACGAGAATATCCACTGGGCAAGAAGCAAATATTCCTAATCGATATAGAGACTAGCACTTTACAACGATATCAAATAATTCACCAGGGAACAAGCTATGAATAACGCGCTTCTGAGTATAAGAAAATACTTGTTTATTGATAACAATAAAAAGAATTAGAAGTATGCCAATCTAACGAAAGTCGCGCATCGTATTAACTAATCGACGAGATGTTAATACTATTATGGTTAGCGCGTGCAGATGCAAAAGTGTAAGGAGGAATGAATATATTAATATGTCATCATTTAATATTAAATCAGACAATGAAAATAATTTAGTATCTACAGTTGGCAACGCATCAAAAAGCGCGAATAGTCCTTGTGTTGAGAATAGTGTTTGCAAGCGTGCTGCTATTCATGCGATTCATATTTACATCAATAAACACTAGATTTGTATCTGCTATTGGTGAATATTGGTTACATTCATGGATGCTGTAACTGCTTTTTGTCTTATCAAAAAACTACATACAGCGGTGAGCATGGCCGACTGCAATGTTTACGCCACATAAAATTTTTTATTTAAAGAACATATCTAATAAAATGTTACTATACATTGTATCGCCGCCGCTTGTATCTATACGTGTGGCCACAACGGTTTATGTTATTTACCAACTGTGCCGCAAAGTCAGGAGAAAGACAGTTTTATTATTTGCAACAAGTTTTTACTGAGTTGATAATTTTTGTATACAATCTTTATTAGTTGCCACACATTTTTTCCTGAAAATATTGGCAGCCAGGAAAATGCATTGCTGTTTTTCCTCCTTCGCCCCGTAGCGCAAAAAACAAAACTTTCAGCAGATACTTGACATTTCAACATATTTTGTTATTCTAGTACACACTGCCTTTTTTTTTTTTTGACATGCTTAGTTGAAACGTACCCTCGTCTGTGAAATAACCAAAATTTAGATGCTTGGCCTTCTTACTTTGCCGTGGTTGATCCAGTCTTTCTACAATACTTAAATCCGCGTTGTCGCAGTATTTTTGCCCCCAACAAATCATTATATTTAAATCTACGTTGGATGTTTTAGTTTATGCAAAAGGCGATTTTCGAGAGAAATTCCCGGTTTTTGACAAATGTAGAAAATTGGAAATAATCTGTTTTTTGCGTCTGGAATATGTGTTATTGTAAATTTAAACGCTTCACTTTGTAGACAATTGTAACATTAATGAGACTCAACCAAATTGTCCTCTCTCTGCGCTATTGCAAAGGCACGTAAACAACCTACACTGGACCAACATTAAAGCTTTCAAGAAGTTTAGCATGTCTCCTCTCAGATATAACAGTATTCTTTATCTTTCAAATGTGTTAAGTTCGTACGACTGCCGCGTCTTTTGAGAAAACGCAATGTTCGAGCAAATTACGGATTTGTTAATGACAACACGAATATTAAAAATTTTGGTCGCGTAATTGGTGAGCATTATTGATGTGGCGTTAGCCCCTGAAATTGTTTAATTTGTGACATCATGTTCACTCGATTTGTTACAGCAATACCCCCTATAAAAATAGTCCTTTCCTCACAAAGTGCGCCAGCTTGCCTTAGTAATGACCAGTGATGAGACTGGTAACCAGCTTGGTATGTATTATTTATTGTTATAATTTGTAATGCCACGTCGAGAGCATTCATATCTTCAAACAGTATTTAATACGAATAATATCAACCCCCATCACTTTACTATCTGCCTATTTACATTTCTGACTCAATTCAGCTGGATTGGACGATGCATCAGACGAAAACTCTGCCTACGCAACTCTACCATCTAACCTATTAGAGAGCACAAATAAAGGTATGCATCTTCTCTACCTCCCTCTTCACCTCCTTTTATTAGGCCAGGTGCATCAAGTGTATTTTCCCTCCACACTACCCGAGCCAAACCAATACCTGCCATATGGAGGGAGTCTTCCAAGTTCACGGACAACTTTTGGTTTTGTCTTTTCGCATAGCCAACAAAGTGAAACGATCTCCCTTTCATAACCTGCAAGGGGATCAAAATTGGTTATCTTTGGTATCCGCGGCTACTTTAAATATTTTTAAAGACAAGGACGATTGGAGAGAGGTCAGCAATACTACGTTGTTATCTCCCGAAGAATCAATAAGCAATTACTCCTCGTGGAAGGATATGAAGATATCTAACCCGGATGAAGAACGTATGATATATGAGAATCGCACACACTTGATGACACCAAATAGAAACAGTATATTGAAAGAAACAAGAGAAGCTGACGAAGGATGATTTTGAACTGTGTTCCTTATTTATTTAAATATAGTCGAAAACGACGACGAGGACGAGGACGATGAGGCTATGCCTACTACATCCAGATTGGACTACAACGATATCCTTGTTAATGCAATAGTAGTAAATTAGACGAAGCGAATAGGGAAGAAGACAATGAAAGAAGTAATGGATAATACATCAAAAAACTAATAGAGTACTATAATGAAATTATGCTGAATAATGCCCCGGTAGATTTGCTTCCTTAACAATTGAATACAGATGAAAATATATGGGTTTAAGCCTTTGATCGATGAATCCGCTGTGGTTAATTGTAATGACTGTTCCAAGAAAATATTACCGCGTGGTTATACTGAGCATTTGGGTACGCTTTTATTGATTATAATAAGAGTTGTGATACTTGTTAAAAAACTAGCTGTTTGCTGCAAAGACATAGAAGCACGTACGATATCATCACCATGTAGTATTCACTCGTATACTAATAAAGAAATCTCTTTCACGTAAAAAGAAAATTGCGAAAAAATAAAAGAACGTTCCAAAGAGCCTCCTATTAAAATTGAAGCCAGCGACACGGCTGCTGTTGATAAGAATCACGCGAATATATCGACTGATTCACGCGTCAAAAACGAACCTGCTGGATCTGAAGGTAACTCAGAACATCTATATTATTGATGATATTTCTGTTTACTGACTATCTACACGTACGATTGCAGAAACAACCACTTCTTCAGCATTTCCAAAACAACTAGTATCCACGCCCGCATCGACATCATCGATACCAGCAAAGAGACAACCCTCGTCACCGTCTGCAGGGAAATCATCTAATGAAAAGAAACAAAAGGTGAAGAAGAACCCGACAGAGAAGAAAAAGGGCAATAACAGAAACAAAGGTAATGAGCACATGACTAATTTGACTCGATAGTATGAGTTAATCATATTCTTATTCTTTTCTGAGTAATTGGTTTATATTGACTAAAATTTTTTTGCTTCGTTTCCAGGCCCAATTGACTTGGACAGACAATGCGGCGTATTGATGCAACCAAATAACACTCCTTGCACGAGATCTCTTACTTGTAAGAGCCATTCAATGTCATTGAAGCGTGCCGTTGCAGGTCGCTCAAGGATGTTTGACGACTTGCTTCAGGCATATCAAAAGAAGTCTATTGGACGTCCGTTAAGTAAATACATTATTTTAAATTCCTATATCACCTGTCATTATCGTCTATACGCATTATTTAATCCATTACCCGTCCATACATTTTACATTCTCTACCACTAATACAAGACGGTAACCAAGCTAATTCGAAAACGGATAATAAAAAAGATGGTAAACCGGAGGCGGAAGAGGTGGAGGAAGTTGTGAATTCAGAAGAAGAAGTCGACGCGGTAATAGAGGCTATCATGTCGAGTACTGTTCAACCTCTTGCAGCGCGACAGTCATCTTACGTATCACGGACACATACGAATTATTTTCTATATCAGGACGTGTCTGCAGAGAATGTTGCCAAAATAGTTTGGTAAATTGATGGCATAATGTAGACACGTACAAGTCATGAAAGAAAAGTATATCGAAATGTATTAGTATCAATTATCATTACAGTGTTGAGATTTGAGTAGGCGTATTCTTATTTGTTTATGATTAGTTTGTGCTCCTGCGAGCATTAATATGTACGATGAATGTTGAGGAATAGACAGCAAAAATCCTTAGGCTTGTAATAAATAGATAATTAGTAGTGTAGCTAGCTTGATGGCATTCAAGTGTCTGCAGTCGCTAGCATGTGAGCGGCATGCACATCATAACAAATTACATGCATGAAACGTCTTAATTCTTTATAGAATTTTCGTGGACAATATAAAGCTTCGCTTGCACAAAAAGCTCATGATATTATTGAAACTAAAATCTCTAGAAGTCCAGCGATTGTATTAATAATAATAACACGCGTCGTGCGCATAATATGTGTTGTACTTTTACTGCGGCCAACAAGAATCGTTTTTTCGGGTCCGGTTCATTTCATCGACAATCATTTCACCGACAGTACGTTTCACCGACATAAATTTCATCGAAAACCAATGATAAGTGCGATAAACAATGTGTCACGTGAAATGACTGTCGGTGAAGTGTACTGTCGATATAGTTGTCGATCATTACCTTTTAATCGGTTTAACTCTTTTCGATTAATTACAGTCATTTTCATTGATTGGTTGTGAAAAACGCAACAATCAGACTCTAATGGGGGGGCAACAATGTAACATGACAATTAGCTGCACAAAATAATTTACGCTTAATACAATGTTGTGCAGACGTTTATTTGAGGTGATGCGTATTTCCTTTTGTATCACGGAATGCTTACCAAATAAGTGTGTATATAAGCCACTGTAATAATTGTCATTGTTATTGACCTATTAAGTTGTCGCTATTGCTACTGTGGATATCTTATTTAACAACCAATCAGAGATCTGGAAAGGGACTCAGCCCTATTACTATTATTTTATTTCGTTTATGTCACCAGTGAATGTATTCAAAATATCTATTTTAATATTTGCTTGGCCTTTAGCATCAATGACAATTCAATGCAATCATTTGTACAGTACATTGTTCTTGGTTGATAGGATATATCATAATAGACCAATAAACGGAATTGAGCATTCTGTTCATTTGCAGTCCTGATGTGTTGAAGGCCATATAATAGTGCAAATGTAAGAGCTGATGTTTGGCCGACTCATTAAAAAGACTACAAAGAAAAGGTTGGTCTTGTACAAACTGTGCACTTATTCTTAAAGAATGCAAAGTTGGTATGTTTGCACAACAGGCTTTATGCTCACACCAATAATCAATTATCTGTTAATAACATTATCAGATACAGTCAAACCTCGAAAAACCGATAACCCTAAACCGATCCTTTTTTTCAATTCCCGTGCAATTTATAATGATAATTCTTCGTAAAACTGATAATACATATGAGGTATAAACTCGATAAACCGATATTTTTTTGGCCGATTTTATAAGGTAGTACAAATCGCCAATACTAATACCGATACGTGTATCGTAATTGGCCAATCATAACAACAACCTCCTAAACCGAGAGGACAACCACATCGGTTTTCCGAAGTTCGACTGTAATTTTAGCACTGTATTAGTTAGTGACCTCGCAAGATCAGCTTCAAAATATCTTTTAGTATACCTGGATCAATAAAAGTCACTGTAGATTTGGTAAATCAGTCATGATAATTGATGTCAGTCAACGCGTTATTGTAGTCGAACATGATTCCATCTCAAACCTCTTTAAATCTGAATTGCAAGTGGTATACTTGAATGTGAGCGATTCAAGAGAGCTTGATCGCGTCTTTTCAACTTAACTCCATATTTAGCCGATAATGAGAGATTGGAAAGTGTTCATTGATTCCTTATTGAGATGATGCGGGTTGGTATAAAAGTCCTGGGCAACAAAACCTGACAAAGTGAAAATTTTGCCACATAAACTCAAAGTGGCTAGTGTGGCTGTAAATTGACCAATGAGGTTTATGATATTTTGACATAGTAATAATGGAGCTCTTGTCTTTTCGTTAACAATTGCGGGAGAGCAATCGATCGTTTACTCTTGGAAATTGACTATCTTTTGAACGGAGCTGTGGCTTCTCCTACTTTAATTAAACACGACGTCAGTTAGTGACCTTTTTATCTAGGCTTTTACTACTCACGACCTAGTGTCGATGCATAAACACTAATCGTAGACGGTTGTTCGCCCTCGAGTTAATCTATTCCCTTCTGATGGGATTAATTCGGAAGCATATAGTATTGGTTCGGTTATACTTGTATATATTCAAAAGTACGTCTCACCATAAGCGAATAACAATCGTAATACCACGAGAATATCCACGGGACAAGAAGCAAATATTCCTAACAACATAGGATTAGCGGTTCACAACTATACCGACAACTTACCAGGAAACAAATCTACGCTGCTTATACAAATCACTTCTCAGAAGTCACCGACCACCTTAAATTGACAAATATTGACATAACGAGCAATGCAATTCCGTGAAATTAACGCTGAATTTTACATAATCAACTTTTGTGTTACCGAAAAACTAACATCGAGGTTATAGTTAATCCACATAATAAATTTATATTCATTCGAAAGCGCAAAAAACCTGCTATTGAATGCAAAAACTTTAACCATTTATCCTGCTTCGTGTTGACTACAGTCGTACCCCTCTATAGTCACGCTGTCAGGAACAATGCAACTTTTGCTGGAAGTGTGCTTATAAAGAGGTTGTGACTATATAAAGGGTTTTTTCTATAAGTTTAA